CTACCCTAACAGAGAAGCGGGGTGGGCCTCCAATATTTCCTGTCACTGACTTGATCTGTAGATGTAGCAAGTATATCTTATGCTTCCAGCCCTACAGGTTCCACTTATGCCGAGTCTTGCAAACTTGGTTTACTCCACCTCACTCATCATCACCAGTAATAGTGACTGCCGGCAGAGGGCAGCTGGCAAGACTGATGAAATAGAGTTTTGCTCTTTCATTCCCGGACTTGCTCTGCTGGAACAAGGGTAGCCATCTACCATAGTAAGCATGTGCCCAGAAATACCTCTTTATACCCATGAATTCCAGTTGCAAGGCAGGAAGCTTTATTCTCATTTTATAGGTGGGGAATTGAAAGAGAGAGAGACGTGATGATTCCTGCACAGTGACTGGAACTAAACAACAGAGCCAATATTAAGAAACCCAACTTCCCTATTTCATGTTTCCATTACACTCCTCTCTAGAATGAGTTCCAAAGGAACAGAGGAACTATACCTGAGCTTGACTATGGCCTAACACTAGCCCCTCTGTTACTACTACTTAGGTAGGATACATCTCTATAGGATACTCCAGAAAGTCCATTTGATACTTGAAAGGGTTTCTGTCATACCCCTGTAAGTAGAGGAACAAGTCCAGGTCAGATTGTGATTTAGGGATTGAGCCAAATTTCCTAGCTGGAGTGAGACATCTAATACACTAGTAAACAGACAAGCCCTGAACAGATTACCAGAAGGACACACTTATTTGCCAAACACAGTACAGCATTCAAGGTCTCCCACTTCTCTTTAGTGTCTGCCTTGGTTCTGGATCTCAGAGACATTTATACAACCTGTCATATTACCCAGGGAATCATTCAGGACAGTCAATGCAAGTGCCCTTGGGGAAGCAAGGTAAAACTCAGCAGTCTGTGCCCCTAAGGAATCAGCTGTAAACAAATACCAAGGAATGTGCAAAATTGTAATCATCTGGATACAGTGTATAGGCCATTCACAAAAGAAACTCTTTTCTCTTAAGTCTCCACCCCCAGATACAAACCATGCGACAACACGAATGGAGTAAAGGTTAGTCATTAACTGAAGGTCTGGTCTGCGCCTTCCATACTGATCCCATTTCAAGTTGACCAATTCCCACCCCCCTCAAACACAACAATAAAAATGACAGTCAATTTATATGTGAGACTGAAATATAACTGGAACAATAAGTTGACTGTGATTTTTATTTTTTTTTTTGGAGGAAGGAAAAAAAACATTGACTTAATCAGAACTATACAGTCCGATTATACAGAACAGGCAATTCAACCGAGGACTTGCAAGGGCCAAGCAAGGGGCTCACAGGCTCTACTGCCAGGAAGCACAGTAGCAAAAACCCTTCTGTCAACTTATACCATGTCTCCTCTAGGGGCTCTGCCAACATGGCTATGCCAGCACAGCTGAAGTGGCAGGAGCTCCATAATGCAATAGGCCCCAAGTATATTCAAGGAGCCTTACTACCATCACCAATTACGTTCAAGACACTCCTGAAGCAAGCGGTTGCTTATGAAAGCTTATGCATCTCTGATTTAGTCTATAAGATGCAACTCTACTCTGTCTTCTGTTCCCACATATGCCACATGAAGAGAAAGTTGCAATAATGAGGAAACAAGGTCTTGTCTGTACAAGTTATGCCAATGTGCCAATGTAACCAAAGTCATTTTAAAAATAGTTGAAACAGCACAACTTGAGCCTCCGTAGAAAGATATCTTATACTAATGAGGTGCTGTAGGATGCCTACTGAAGCCAACCCCAAGACACAAAACCTCATGCCCCATCTGCTTTTCCTTTCCACCAATGTCATGCCACAGGCTGAGAATCTCTGAAGGGGGCTTTCTTAAAAGAATAAAATGAACTTGGCTGCACCAGTGCTCTAGGAGCTCAAGCACTTACAAAACTGAAGCTGGTGCACTGTACCCAACTGGTAAGAGCCTCATAGGTCAGCAGCAAATGTCTTCCCTATCCCTTAATTCAAATCCCAGCCAACATGACCCAGCAATAGTGGTCAAATTCACTCTCTCACTATCAACCTATGACAGTGACTTTAGCCCCACAGACGCCTGCATGAGCAGGGATCTCAGCCTGCTATGAACTCACTCAAAAGCAAAGAAGAGGGCACAAGTGCCAAGAATGAGGAAGAGTGTCAAATAGAAGATGCCTTTCTGCCGGGCCATCATGATGCGACCGTCGCAACAGAAGGTGTTCCTGCCCGGCAGCTTTTCCCATTTCCGAATCACTTTCCTCCTTGCCACCATCACAGACATGGTCGCACATTCACAGGGAGGCAGGCAACCAAGCAACGTCCAGGCTCTGCTCCAAACTTGTTGGTACACACGGCATCCTCAGAGTCCAGGCATCATTTGCTAAAGAAACTGGGAAGACAAGAATGCATCAGCGTGGTCTGATAACCCCCTTGAATGTGTCAACTGAGGGAACTCTCCAAGCTGATGACAAATGGCGCTCCCTCCTTCCCACCAGCTCCGTTCCAGCTCCCCCATACACAAGACGCACAGAGGGGGAAAGCAGGCAGTCTGGGACTGCTTGCCTGCATGGGAGTATTCCTGGCACCCCACTGCTGCCCCATGCTAGTGCCTCGTTCAAGCTCAGGACTCAGTGGCCACAGCCTGCAACTCCCAGGGCAGGGCTGCACTGGCCCCAACGTCGCTGAGGGGAAGCGAGTCACACGGGAGTGAAGCTGCTGGAGGAGGGTCACACAGGAAGCCTGTGAGCGGAGTTCCGGCCCGAGGGGCTGCCCGTGCCTCAGCCCCGCTCTCTGCCGGCCCTGGCGTGGGGTCGCGGCCCGGGCTCAGCCTCCAGAAGACGCGACACCGGCACGGGAAGAGCCTGGA